CGGCAGCTACTTCCCACCTCACCGGGTGTTATCACACCCACGCGTGCACACGGAAATGGGAGACGAGTTCACCTCCTAACTCCCATGGACGGCAGCGCCAAGTGCAGGGCCAGCATGCCCGGCTGCTCACTTTGTGCTCAGGATCAGGACCAGCACCCGCCTGCCCGGAGCCCTGTCCCCACATCCCTCCTTTGAGATGGGGCACATGAGCCAGGCTGGCCCTGTGCTCTCACCTGGGGAAGGGGGACCCGACACCCCAAGGAGCTCTTCCAGCCTTGCCCACCTCAGCCTGTAGCTCCCCTGTGGGTTGCTTTTGCAGGCAGGGCACTCCCTGCCACCACACTGCCTGTCCCCTGCCCGCTCGCAGCGCAGGCATCCCACTGCAGCAGCAGCTGAAAAGCATGAACTGGTCCCCGTCCTTACTCCTCCTCGCGCTGTCACCTCGGCTCAGCATCTCCCCGGGATCTCCTGCCACCTCCAAGCTGGGAGCCGTCCCTATCCTTGCCCGAGCGCTTCCTCGCAGGAGGGCAGGGACCGGAGGGGACAACACCAAGGCAGCCCCGTCCCTGCTCTCTCACGGTGGCTGTCTGGCAGGTGGCCACGCGGGTCAGGAGGCGGCTGTGATGCTGAAGAGCAAGAGCCCGCTGGGGTGGGCTCTGCTGACAAGGCAATCAGGGGGTCTGTAAGTGGATAAGCCTTGTGTGACTGATCATACGGTGGCGAAGCGGCTCCACTTTCGCCTTGCAGCAACGAGCTCAACAGCTGGTAGAGCTACAAATGCCAGGGCGAGCTCCGGGGCTCCCAGCCAGAGCGGGCCCCTCCTCTCGTGCCAGGGACCAGATTGCTCCGGACACCTGCGGCAGCACAGATGTGACCTGACCTGTGCCACGGGCCTGGTAAGCAGAGCTTGGTAGCATCAGGGGATGCTCCGGAGGCAGCCGTTGGGCGGCAATGCCTCCGTCGCCCTGTGGGAAGGGCAGCATCCGAGCAAGGGTTTCTCCCCACCTGTCCCGGCCCCCTCGGACACCCCAGCAGTGGGAAGCATCGATCCCCACTGCAGAAGGAGGCAGAAAGGAGCTGCCCTCGCTTAGGCAAGGAAAAACAAGATGGATGGAGGGCAAGCTCGTGGAGGGCGAGGCGGCGCTGGAAGGATGGCTCACGGCTGGGAGAGCCGGGGCAAATCTTTCCACTGCCATCAGCTTCCTCTCTGACCTTTGGCAGGAGACCAAAGCCGGCGGCATCCGCTGCGCATGGAGACCGTCCCTGCCTGGGGCAGAGCCTTCCCCGCCGGGGACCGGAGGAGAAAGGAGCCCTGCGTGCTCTGGCAAGAGGCCGCGTCCTCGGCTGGTGGGGATGGCACAGTGGCTGGGGACATGCCAGCAGCTCGGGGACACCAGATAAAAAATAAAGGAGAGGAGAGGATGGACGGGGCCAGGCTCTTCACAGCATAAACACAAGCCACATTGTGGTCTCGTCTCCCACCCACGCGGCAGCAGCGATTCAAGGCGGCGCAGCCGGTGGTGTGGCAACTGGGATGGGATTAGCCCAGGCGGCGCCAGCCAGGTCCGAGCCTGGGGATACCCCTTGGCCCTGGACGGGAGAGGGAAACTGAGGCACAGGGCTGGGGGAGGAAAGGGCCTGCCCCAGAGTTCACGAGTCTGGCTGCAGGTGGGGATGCTGAGATGCGAGGGGGTTGAACCCAGTGTCGGAGCAGGGGGAAAGCACAGGCAGAGCCACATGCTGCCTTTGGGCCCAGCGCGGTGCCCTCGCTGGATCAGTATTTAGCATCTCCCAAAAGGACCCAGAGTTTTCCCAGCATCTTGGCAGCGCCCACTGACTCCCACCACCACACTGAGACAGGCGAGTGCAGCGTCTGCTTCGTGGAAGGTGTGCATGGGCACAGGGCAGTGACTCACCCGCAGTCGTGCAGAGAAGCGGAGCCAAGTCTCCCTGTGAATCCAGGTCCCCCCTTGTGCTCTGCGTGGGGGGAGAAGCCTTCGGGATGAGCCCGGAACGGCGGCGGGACCTGGGCCCCCGGAGCCCCTGTCACCTGCAAAGCTGCCATCTCCGTCCCCCCTTCCCCTGCAGGCAAATGAATTCATGCTGCTCTGAGAACCCACCCTGCCCTGGGGATGTCTGGAGGATTGAAGCCTTCGGGATGAGCCCGGAACGGCCGCGGGACCTGGGCCCCCGGAGCCCCTGTCACCTGCAAAGCTGCCATCTCCGTCCCCCCTTCCCCTGCAGGCAAATGAATTCATGCTGCTCTGAGAACCCACCCTGCCCTGGGGATGTCCCTGGAGGATTCCCAGCACCGACCAGTGCCGCAATTCAGGAACAGCCCCAGAGATGCGGCTGCCCCCACCGCGCTCCTGCAAAGCTGGGTTGCGGTACGGATCCCGAGTGCTCCCACCTTGAGCTGCTCAGGCAAATTGCTCTGGAAATCAATTCCAATCTATCAGGCATCAGGAAAGCGATAAACTGCCCCTCAAGACACCAAATCGATGGTTCCTCTTAGCCCAGAGCAGAGGAAGGGAAGTGGGGAGAGGCGATGCGTGGGAGGACAGGGAGCATGGGAGGGTGATGGCGGGGGGCCGGGGTCCTGCTGCAAGCAAGAGCTGGGTCCGGTTGGAAGGAAACAGCCCCAAAACCAGCTCTTGATGCAGCAAAGGGCAGAGAAGATGCATGCCCACATGCTGTGCAAAACTGCTCCGGGGATGGAGCGGTGGGAAAAGCTTGGGAGAGTGGCTGACGGTCCCCTGGGAGCAGGGGGCTCAGGCTCCAGCCTTCACCAATAACCCATGGCTACACGTATTTGCTCGGTTGGAGGCAGGACCCCATCTGAACCCGCAATCAGGGCTTTGGATTCGTTTCTTATTCTCATCTCTCTGCAAGCAGAGCAAGAGGGCAGAGGCGTGGGGAGGCCATGGAGCCAGCCGAGGGGCGAGGGGGGGCCGGCAGAGAGGAGGAGGAGGAGGAGGAGACACACACCAAGATCAAAAATCAGTTCCCAACAGGACCATTTCTTCCTCTAACGAGACACTGAGGGAAGTCACTAACAGAGCAAGGCCTCCGCGCTTGCTTCCATGACAGGAGAAATGCGACGGAGCAGTGCAGTCCAGCAGCGGGAAGGGGGGCTTTGTCAGCAGGACCCTCCAGCCTGGCCCACGGCCACAGGCAACTGCAAGATTATAGCCGAGAGCCGGGCACAAGGCCGTTTGCAGGCTGCGCCCCGCTTTTGGGGACGGCCACAAGGGATGCACGCCGGCAGCCCAGGCGTTACCACACCAGCTTGGAAACACAAGCAAGCTTTGCTTCAGAGAGCTTGCAATGAAAGGCAGAGACAAAGTGCAACAAGTCAATGGAGAGGAAGGCTAAAGGATGAAACAAAAAGCTCCCGTGCAAGGGAAAGCACGCAGGCAGAGCGGCTCCGGGGCAGGCTGGCAGAGCGGGCGATGCCCCTGCCCGGCACGCAGCGATGCACCGCACCAGCGCTGCGGTTCTGCTAAATGCACTTGGTGCAATTTTTCAAGCAAGCTAATCATTTCCTCTCATCTCCTGCCATTAGTGCAGTCATGCTAACCGCTCGCTCACCGGTGGGAGGCCGAAGCCGCCTGACAGGAGCTTCGACTACGCGCTGCACCTCATCAAAAGCAAATTCATCTGAAAGAGCGTGGCAGGGCCGAGGGAGGGAACCACCTCTCCAGCATCCCTGCCGGGAGGGGGGCTCGCAAGAAAGCCGCTAAGGGAAGAATTCTAGCCAAACCCATGACTTTTCCACCCTTGCCCTGCAGCCTGAGATTAGAGCCTCCAGCCGGAGTCTCCAAAGAGCTTGGCTCCATGAGAAAGCGCCCGGGAGGGGTATTTTCCCCAGCTTGGCATGTTGGGGACCGCGGCGACGCCGGCTGCTGCAGGGAGAGCCGCGCTGTACTCAGCCCGGCACAACACTTGGCCCGTCTCTGCCTTGGCACAGGGGAACCCAACTCTTTCAAAGACTTGGCTCCCGCCACCATCACGACGTGCTTGGATGCACAGCTCAGAGCTCAGCAGGTCCGGCCACGGCACCGAGCCCTGCTCCCACAGCCTCCGGGCAGGAACTGGGGGGGGGCACTGCCTTTTTGGGTGACTCCTGCCAGGAGATGGGGTGATGCTACGCTCCAGCAGCTGCGGGGGAGAGGCTGGAAGAAGTTGTTTTGCTGTTACGGAGGGGCTCAGGAGCCCAGGAACACTCCAAATGGGGTGCGGAGAACAGACCCTATTTATAAGCACACAGGTAGCACGTAGGTGGTTGGTCACAGCCTGCTGTGCCAGCCTGGTTAGTCACAGCTATTTAAAAATCAAAAATGCTGAAAAAAATTGCTCAGATCCATGTCTAAAGCCTCTTAGATGCAGGAAAGCGCACTCACAATTTGAAGACATGGGGTAAGATCCACCCGGGCTTTGCTGTCAGCCTGATCAGAGACTCTGGTGCACAGACCATGGCACAGGGATGCTGCTGGGACGGGTTGTCCCCCCCCCCCGGTCCACAGGGCATGAGAACACCAAGGTGCCCAGTCCACCGCATCCCCCGATACATCCCACCTCGGAGGGGCCCCGTGTCCTGCTGCGGGTGGCACCAGGACAAGGCCACTGCACCATCCCCGGAGGCAGATGCCATCCCTGCCGGTGCTGAGCAAACCCTCGTGCTGCCTCCTGCCCTTCCTAACCCCAACCGGGGCCCGTCGGAGGGAGAGCTACAGCCCCTCCACCTCGCAGCCCTTCCACCAGCGCCAGTCAGAAGCTGTCCAGGCAGCGAGGTTTATTCAAGCAAAAGGAGGGCAGCAGCAGCTGCCTGCAGCCCTGCCTGCCTCCTCCCACCAGCGCCGGGCATCCAGCCCAGCCTGCGCCATCGCCTCCCGGGGCAGAGCCCACCTGCGTGGGGCCGGGACCGTCCCCGAGGGGCCAGCATCGCCCGGCGCCAGCGGCGTCCGCTTTCCCCCGCCTTGTCCCACCTCAGTCCATACCCACGAGCAACGGAGTCAGCCTGTAGTCCCTGGGCTCGGCAGGTCTCTCCTGCTCCCGCAGCCTCGGCGCGGCTCTAGGGGAAGCGCCAAAGGGATGCTTTGCCCAGCGAGGAAGCATGGTCGCACCCAGGCAGCCGAGACGAACCAGGAGACGGCTCGGAGCACGGCTCCAAAATCTGTGCGACAAACACATGCATCTTATCGCATATGTTTAAACCAAATTAAATATGGTTTTACTAATCACTTGGCATTTAAAGCAACACGCCATCTCTGTCAAGTTAAATCTAAGGAGACGTATCGAGTTGCATTAGCTGTTTATGTTAATTAAATACAGAATCAGTTCATTATTAAACATGTATGCAGCGAAAGTGAGCAGCTAGGTGGATTGTTACCGACCTTATTACATGGTACTGACCTCGAGGAAGCCTGCACGCAGCAATCGGTCGGCGCTCAACCATGCGGCGACTGTCGCCTTACAGCCAGAGCCAAATCCTCCGCACGGGGAAGCGGAGCCACAGCGGTGCCGGTGCATGGGGTGGATGGATGCAGGAGCTCCCGAGCCGGCGGTCTGCTGCCACCCAGCTCCCGTCGCCCGTCGGTCCCCCCTCCTGTCCCCGAGCTAGCGAGGGTCGTACGGCCGGCGGGCAGGCGGTGGGGCTGTCTCCATGGCTGACAGTCGCTGCCCCAGTTTCTCTGCCAGCAGCCATCGCATCCTCCCGGCTCCAAGCCGGCGCTTTTGCTCACATCCTTTCCCTGCCCCGGCAACTTTTCCCCCCTGCCCGGTTTTATTCCTCCGCTCCGTGCGGACGTCTGTCTCTCTTGCTCTCTTTTCTGGCTCAGGCGTTTCAGAGCTCCCCGTGGGTCTCTGGGTATTTTTTTTTTTTTTTTTCCTTTCCTCTTGAAATGTCAGCGTGCCCCCTCAATCATTTCACATGGGCAGGGAGCCAGGAGCCAGTGTACAGTCGTCAGTGCCTGCAGATTGCCGTGCTGCCCCCTCCCTGCCCTGCCAAAGCAAGGGCCCACCGGCGGCGTGCCGCGGGCTGCCGGCGCCGCTCACGGAGCCCTTCCCATGCTTCCACCTCCCCCGGGGTGCAAGCCTGGAGGGTGCACGTGTACAGGGGACCAGGGCTGCTCGGTGCTGGGGACACGAGAACCCGTTTGCCTCCCCGATGCCACCGAGCTGCCCAGCTCCGGGCACGGCCACCCCGAATCCTGCACTGTCTGCAAGGGCTGGCCCGCAGCTGCTCCCGCACCAGCCCCAGGGGAGCTCAGGAGAGGGAAAACCTGCAGCTGCCTCCCAGGGCTCGCAGGAGAGCCCCTCTGCAAAGGTCTTGTCCCCAGGACACGACGCTGGATCCGGTCCTTGACCACGCTGAGCCAAGCCAGGTCACAACCTGCTGCTGGATGGGTCTTGTATGGGTTGGAGTGACGCTTTCTGAAGCTGCTCAGAAAGCTCTCCGGCTGGGCTGGCCCTGGCAGGGGCTGACGAGGTTACCCCGAAGGAAGGAGGAACAAGCAGCGAAGACCTGAGAGATGCCGGAGGCACAAGCCAGCTCCTCTTAGTCCATCCAAGCTAATCAGACCATCACTGTGCCTGCATTTCGGGGGGATGTTTGCATGCCTCTTCCCTCAAGGTTCTGGGGGAGATGCTGACCCAGCCACAGGTACCCCAAAACTCAGTCTTACCCCAATCCAAGGCAGTCCTGCAGGACCATGACCCCCCAGCACAGCTCTGACCTGCCCCTCAGGCCAGGGGACAGCTTATTCCTGCCTTTAATATTAACATAAAGGGGAGGCTCAGGCTGTACATCCGCAATGCTTGGACTTGGCAGTGTTAGGTTAACGGTTGGACTCGATAATCTTAAAGGTCTTTTCCAACCTAAATGATTCTATGATCCCCTTCAGCCAAGCTGCCACCAAGCAGCACCCAAATGCTGATGAAATGCATTTAAGAGCAAACCCCAGCAGCCCCCCGGGCAGTAGCAATACCAGCAGCATCCCGAAACCACCTGCACACGCACTTACGAGGACACTTGCACCCTGGCCCCTGGTCACGGTCACGAGGGAGCCAAGAGCTGCATTTCTACCTGCCAAAAGCATTAAATATCCAACTGAAACCACCGTGGCCTCAGCATTGCTCTGAGCAACCTGATTTGCACATATTTAAAAACCCACCAAAGGGCACTTTGCTGATCAACTAGATGGAAGCCAATTAAACCACCTTGCTTGGAGAAAAACGGCTCACCTGCTCGGGAGATGGCTCTCTGCTGCCTGCACGCTGCCTGCACACTGCCTGCCTGCACGGGGAGTTTCTCCTGACATCTGTGGCAGGGCAATTCCAGTTAACGGCTGATGACAGCACATGCTCTGCCCAGCTCCTGTCTCTCATGCCGTAGAGCCCCACCTGCCTCAGTCCTTCCCACCTTTCCAGGTCTCTCCCCCCTTTTCCAGCGCTGGGAAGAAGCTTTTCAAACTCACCCCTTTTTCCTCTGTCCCCCATTCCCGGTGCTTCTCCCCAGCCAGCCTGCCCCGCTGCACCAGCTCATTTTGGCATCCTAAAGGCTATCTCACGGACTTCCAATCACTCAAGCCTTAAAACCGCAGCCCAGACAGCCCCGGGTGAGAAGGGCTGTAGAGCCCAGGAAACCTCACACCAAAGAGCCGCAGGTAGGCTTTATCCCCATTTTGCAGATGGGGAAACTGAGGCATAGATGGGGGGGGGGAAGTGCTCCTGGCTCAGAGCCCAGCAGTGGCAGGGCAAGAAGAGAGAAACTCAGGAGCGCTGAGCTCCTGGCTGGAGCCCTTCCAGGCTCTCGAACAGC